TTATTGGTTACTTTTGTATTGCTGTGATAAAACACCATGACCAAGACAACTTCTAGAAGGAAGAGCTTATTGGGCTTTTGGTTCCAGAGGGATAAGAGTCCATCATTGGCAGGGATGGCATGGCAGGAGGCAGCTAGAGCAGAAAGCTGAGAGCTTACGTATTCAGTCACTCACAAGAAGCAGTGAAACTGGAAGTGGGGCAAGTCTGTGAACTCTCAAAGCCCACCCCAGAGATGTATGCCCTCTGAGCAAGGCCACACCTTCTAACCCTTCACAAACAGTGCCACCAACTGGGGACAAAGTGTTCAAATACTTGGAGCTTATGGGAGGCATTCTCATTCAAACCACCATATGTGTGTGTGTGTGTGTGTGTGTGTGTGTGCGCGCGCACACACAAATGGAGGCCAGAGGTCAACATTGGGTATCTGACACAATCATGCTACCTTATTCTTGAGACAAGGTCTCTCACTGAACCTGGAGCTCATTCAGCTAGACTGGCTGGCCAGCAAGCCTGAGCAAGCCTATCTTCACTTTTCCAGCACTGGGATTACAGATGGATGCCACCTGCCCAGCTTTTACAAAGGTGCTGGGGCTCTGAATTCAGGTCCTAAGGCTGTGCCTCAAATACTTTACTGAGTCATCTCCCCAGCCCCAAGAGTTTTCTTTTTAATTTGTCAGTAACATGAATCTGTTGAAACCTTGCTCTAGGGCTGGGACCATGCTGTCTTGAGGTTGGCACATGCCAGGGAAGTCACGTCTCAGTGGGGAAAGAGGACACACCAGAAATGATTTGTTACTGGGGTTCAAAGAAAGTCACCCAATTTGATTGCTCTGCTACTTTGGGTTTGTCTTTTTGGTATATTGCCAGGTCTCCAGGATGAACTATCAGATACATGCATATGTGAGAGTTCAGCACCACAGTGTATTGTTAAATAGAAGTTAAAGTCATGTCCAAGGTAAATGATATGTAATATTTCTGTCCTCTTAGGGCTCTGGAGCTTCATCCATTTTCAGTGAAACCTCTTCTTCGACGAGCAATGGCCTATGAAACCTTAGAGCAATATGGCAAAGCTTATGTGGATTTTAAAACAGTGTTGCAAATAAATTACGGAATCCAGCTAGCAAGTGACAGTATTAACAGGTAATATCATCTAAGGCAGCTAGCTGGAGTCTACTTGAATTATAACAGGATCAAGTTATTCCCTTCCTCTCCTTCAAGAATGATGTCAGTCATTTTACATGAATGGTTGCTGCCTTTGACTCCATTAAAAGAAACGCCTCTGTCTTTCTTAGTTTCTAATTATCTCTTCATATATTCTGAATGGTCGCTGTTAGCACCTTTATATTTTTTTCTTTGTCCATTTATTTCTGTACAGTCAGTTTGTCTTGATAAGATTGCATATAGCTCCCTGTGCTGCTTAAGTATCTGTGATATCAGGAGGGTGTTTGCAGGACTATCGTAAGCCAGTACTGACTCTAGGACAGCGTCTAAACATGTGAGAACTGCCATGTGTGTCTTCTCCCAGGGCTTGCATGTGCCATTACCACCAGGGGAAGCACACATGTTTCTGCCATGGAGGACAAATGTCTTCATGAATCCTCTAGGTACTTGTTTTATGTGCACTTATATAGACACTCAGCTAGGAGGAGGACTATTTTATAATTATGAAGTAGCAAAGAGTTTGGGTCTCATTAAAATCATAACCAACTTATTCCCTGAGGAAGAAATAGGAAGACAAGAATTTTCAGACTTTGGGGCTGGAGGTGTAGCTCAGTACACATGGGCAAGGCCCTGGTTGGGGTCCTAGTAACCAAGACCTTATAAATCTTCAGGTAAAATTTGAAAGTTCTGAGTTATATATCATTTCTAGTTATGTATAGTATTTTCTGATTTCATTTTCCCAAATGAGAGAGTTTCACAAGTGTTTGTGGACATGCTGTCTGCCTTTCAGCAAGCTGGAATATAGTTAGGGGAAAACCATGTTAGACAGAGTACCCCAGGCAGGACAATGAGATGGAGGGATTGCAGAGGGGTGAGGCCAGGCACGGCTGCTGCAGGGAGAGCACTGGAGGTGTCTTTGAGGGTGCTAACAGGACACCAAAAGGCTTTGAGCACTACTGTAGACAGAATGCCATGGTTCACTTCATATTCATCCATTTTTAAATCGTGCCCTGCTTCCCCTTGGGGGTCCCAGCACACTTTGGAGAACACTGTTGCAAAGGTGCATGTAGAGCCGACAGCCATTCCCTGGAGCTTCTCCCTTTCCCCAGTTCCTGGCAGCCATCAGCCTGCTTTCTACATTCTGTGGATTTATCCACTCTGGACTTAAGTGCTTTTGTTATGTTTGCCTTTTTTTTGCTCAGCATGTTTTCAAGGCTTGTCCCTGGTGCAGCCGGTGTTAGAACCATGTTTTTCTTTAGCCTCAATTTTTAGTTTTCTTTTTTTTTTCCCATTTTCTTTCTATAGATGGAGTCCTGTTCTGTGTATGCAATATCACATCTTGTTTTTCCACCCATCAGTTGATGGACATTTTGGTTGTTTCTACCTTTTCTCTATTGTAAAAAGCGTGGCTATGAACGTTCATGGATGTTTTTGTTTGCTTACCTGTCTTTAGTTTCTTTTGGTAGAGGCACAGGAGTGGTAATGGGTCCTGTGGTAGTTTAGTTTTTTGAGGTTTGTATTATACTTTGGACTTGAACCCAAGAAGGTTATTTCATGACAGTTGACTTTCAAGAGTTGCTTTCTAATTGAATGGTTCATGTTTTGTCATTTATAAGAAAGACAAGGAGGCTTTTGGGTTTTGCCATGTGTTTTTTTTAATATAAGATATCTATTAAAATTTCACTGTTTGTATGATTCCCATATCTAGGCTTGCTTTTCCATTTATTACAATTCATTATGGAAAACTAGGCACCATCAACTATTATTTTAATTTAAACATTGGTGCTTATTCTGTTTCTGTTTTCCATTAACCATATTCCTCTCTTCCTCTCCAGGAACCCTAATGTGTTAAGTTTCCCTGCACATACTCATTTACTCCCTGGCAGCACAGCATCTCTTTTCAGCTGCTTCTTCCTTGCTCTCTACTGGTAATACAAGTCTTGCTTAAAATATCCTTATTTCAAAATCTTTTTCTTCTACAGTTATGAATGGTTATACATTAATTTTCACTAATTCATTAATTTCACTAAATCATTAATTTTCACTATTTTAATTACACTAAAATAATGAGATTTAGTTATTATAACTGTAGATTATGATAAAATTTTCTGTTTAAGAAACTGGGAAAAACATGCATATTGTAATTATCTGTACACAAATACAAAACTTCTTACACAGAAAAGTATATGAGATTATCATCTTAACTAACTTGAATGCATTTTACTATTTATCCAGTTAACCTTCCCAGTCTTGGGAAGTGCCTTTTTTAAAGCAGATATTTGTCCCAAAGACATAATTCAGTTTTGCTCTTTAAATCTAATTTTGATGTTTTATATGTTTAAACTAATAGGAAAGTGATAACAAAGGAAGTTAATCCAAATTTTACTATGGTCATTAAGGTAAGGGCCTTAGTAATAAACTGGAATTTAATGGAATTTCCCATTTTCATCTTTATTCAATTAAAAGGAAATAAGTGGATAATTTTAGAAGTGAGAAAATCCATGGTAAGACTGTCTTAACCACATGTAAATACTCTAACAGGAAGCAATATTCCAGAGGGAGGCCAGCCCTCATCACTCTCAGCATGTCTTCATGCCTTCACCCACTGCAGAGAGTTTGTGCAAAGAAACTTTGAAGGACTCTTGCTTACTCTCAAGAGTAACTCACTGTCAGTTCAGTAGTTGGCTAAGTATTTTGAAGGATGTATATATTGAACATTTTAAACAAATTAACAAGTCTTCATTTTTCCTTTTGATTAGAAATGGTTTCTTTGGGCCTGGTGGCCCATGTCTGTAATCCCAGCTGTTTGAGAGGCTGTCAGGAGGATCACAGATTCAAAGCTAGTCTGGGCACACAGTAAAACCCTGTCTAAAAGAAAATATTCTAATTACATCATTAAATGGCAACTTAAAAAATTTCTTTTAGAAATATTTTAGTTTTGTTGACAGAAACCAGCTCAAGATTGTATGTTTTTCTACAAGGAAGCACACTTAGGTACCAATTGGTCACTCTTACTCTTGATCTAACCTTCAGTAAAGATAAGCAAATTCCTTGATCAATACAGAAAATTCATTTTCTTTTTAGAATAACAAGAATCTTAATGGAACTGGATGGACCAAAATGGCGGGAGAAGTTGCCACCCATCCCTGCTGTGCCTATGTCCAAGCCGTCACGAGTTTGGCATCCTGCCGCAGACACACAAGACCAAGAGGGACAGCTCAACAGCCACCTGCCCAATATTACAGGTATGGGGACCTGCATGTGTTTCCTTTGAAGGGCATCCTGAGCATGTGTGTGTTCCCAGTGTAAAGCAGACACCAGAGTCTGAACTCTGCTGTCAGACCTGGGTTCAAGTCCCTGTTCTCCCTGTTAACTCTCTGGTCTTATGAAGCTAACTCCACACCTCAACATTCTAGTCTAGAGAAAAGAGGGAAAGGGGACTATCTATCTCATGAGGCAGATCCCAGAATAAATGGAGGTATATGTATGTGCAAGACTTGGTACTTGTGCTGCCTATGGAGGCCCACGGTGATCTCTTAATGTGAAGCTGGCATCACTGAAAGGAAGGAAAAGAACTAAGCTCTCTATTACAAATGTGAGAGTGAAATGAGTAAGATTGATGTGTTGAAAATAACATCTCAGGACCAGCAAGATTGCTCTATGGGTAAGAGCACTTGCCATGTAAATCTGGAGACTTAATTCTTGGAACCCACAGTGGAAGGAGAGAACAGACTTCTGAAAACTGATCTCCATGAGGGCCGTGGCACATGCCTATCCACACTCGCATGCACACATCATTCTCTCTTCTCTCCCTCTCTCATACACATAATAAGATAAAGTCTCAAACAATAATAATAAAACACAAATATATAGCAGGAAGTTTTGGAAGCTGAATAGATATCACATCATGCTTTAAGAGTTTGACATTATTCATAAAAGTTATTGAGCCAAATATTAAAGATAATTCAGTTTTTGTTTATTGGAATCAGGATTTCACATAGCCCAGACTAGCCTCTAACTTGCTGTGGAACCAAAATAACTTGGAACACTGATCCCCTGCCTCTACCTCCCAGGTGCTGGGATATAGGCATGTACCACCATGTCCAGCTCACTGATGATATTTGTATCCCTGTTTCATAGCTGATTCTGCCATAATTACAGCTTAATGAAAGGTCTCAAGTACCATTGTCCAAGTGTGGAACAAGGCAGCGTGCACTGTGGCTACAGGAAGCACTGCAGGGCTTGTGCGTTGATGCCAGCAGCCATAGTTGAGACTGACTCTTGCTGTCTCCTCACCTATGTCCTGGTGTCCTTTTATAGCCTCATTCTCTCACAGTTCTGGCATCTGTGAGTGTCTCCAGAATTCTAGTAGAGCAAAGATGACACTGCAATATGGATAACAAGGCAAAATTACTTGTTATTTTTTTCTCTAATTTGAAAATAAAAGTGTAATAATAATTTTACATATTGTAAATTCACCTCTTTAATTCATATAATGTTTTGTTGGGTTTAGCCTAGCTCCGTATGGTGTGTTGATCAAGTTAATTTGCAATCTTGGATTTATTGATAGTTCTAAAAATTTCGTAGAGATACTTACAGGAATATTTTCTCTCCTATTTTTCCTTTTGGTCCGTAGATGAAAACATGTTTAAAGTCCTTAAGGAAGAAGGAAATCAATTTGTAAAGGACAAAAACTATAAAGATGCTGTTAGTAAATACAGTGAATGCTTAAAAATTAACAAGGAGTGTGCCATATTTACAAACAGGCAAGTTCTTTGCAATATTATCTATGTCTTCTGTTAATAGCTTTGAAGGTTTTAAAACAATTTTTTGATAAGTTAATGTGATAAAATTAATTGCCAGTTATTTGTAATGATTCTAGGAATCAATATGCAAGTCATCCTGAGTTTTTTTTTTAAATATTTAATGTGTATGAGTGTATAGCCTGCATGTGTGTAAGTGCACCCATGTCATGCAATGCCCACAGAGGTCAGAAGAGGGTGCTGGATCCCCTGGAACTGGAGCTATGGGCAGTTGTTAGCTGCCATGTGGGTGCTGGGAATCAAACCCATGTCCTCTGCAAGAGCAGCCAGTGCTCTTAACCACTGAGCCATCTCTCCAGCTCCCTGAATATTTCTTAAAGGTAGGCTGTAGGAGTTGTGAGGGGGTAGATAAGGGTCTGCTGATTGTGTTACTAGGCTCCCATGAGCCACCTTTGCTGATTGGACTGATGCTGTTCTGGCTCTGCACCTCCTGTCTTCCTGGCCAGACTGCAGCAGGCTGGGCCTAGGCTCTGTCCTGGTAGGAGTGGGGGCCAGTGGCCTTCAAAATACTGTATTATGGAGCAGTATCCATTTTCTGAAGTGCTGAAGGGCCCTTCATGCTCTTCCTAGTTCACCAAGAGCATCCTCTCCCCATGAAGGGTGGTACCCAGGCTCTTGTCCTCCTCTTCCCCTCTCTCCCCTCTTCCTATTCCTCTCAGCCCAGTGCCTTGGTAAGACTGATCTCCCTTCATACCTCTGACTTTAACTTAATGGACATGTCTTCAGGAAGTCTTCCTGATTGCTCTGCCTCTAGCCATTGCCCCACAAGATCTGGTGTGGGTCTCAGCTGTGCTCCTTTATAGATTTCATTGGGTTTGCTCATTTTAATTCCTTGTTTCCACTAGACTGTATCCTCCTTGAGGACCAGGCTGTATTTTGTCTGTGGTAGCCTCCCCAGTGCTATAATTTCATCCCTGTAGGAAGCCTGTGGCTGACCTCAAGTGTTCAATTCCAGCTGTGACATAAGACAGACTTAACCAGCTGTTTCTGACTCTTCCACACTGTCTAAATGTACTAAACTTTACCTTTCCTAATACCTTTCTTTGCATTGTGCCAGGGCTCTCTGTTACTTGAAGCTGGGCCAGTTTGAAGAGGCAAAGCAGGACTGTGACCAGGCACTTCAGATAGATGGAGGCAATGTGAAGGCATGCTACAGACGCGCACTTGCTCAGAAAGGACTAAAGGTGAGGACATCTACGTCTTCATATGTAAAGTTTGTCTCTGGACAGATCGAGTGGTTTCGTGAACATAAATCTCAGGATTATGGACTAGGAGTGAGGTTAGATAGTACTATACTAATCTGTGGGTTTCCAGTATACAGTTTTTACCTTTAACAATGATATGGTTCAGATAATTTCTAAGTTTCCTTCCAGCTCTACTTCAGTCTAAAGTGAGCATTTTGGCTACATTTTTTTTGCAGTTCTGCTTTTTAAAGAATATGTTCAGTTTAAGGGATAAAAAGGTTTGTTGCTGCTGAATTATTGATTGTATAAGTGAATGAAACTTTCAAAGAATAAAAAATGTTATTTTTTAAAGCCACTAGTGATGCCATTGGTTCCCTAGCAAAGACTGAGGTTGGAGGTGGGATGGAGAAAGCATCCAAATAGAAGATTGGTCCCCTGGGGAAGCTGGGAGCCACCAAGCAGAGATTTGGAAGTGTTCAGTGACTTGGCCCTAAGCTAGTTTAGCTGATGGTCGCAGCAGGACTGTAGGCTGGCATTCTTCTCTAAAAAAGCCATACCATTATTTTGAAGAAAGAAAGTATTGCATAATTATAGACAGTTCCTTATGTGTTTTAAATACTGGGTGTCATGACCCAGGCTGGTCTCAAACTCTGGCTTTGAGCTAGTAGTCTTCCTGTCTCTGCCTCCAAAGTGCTGTTCTGTATGAAAATCTAGATCAATGAGTGTTTATGTGGGTAGGAAGTAACATTGCCAGGAAACCCAGAAGCCACTGCAAAATACATTTTATAAAATGTATTTAGGGGAGGGACACTTTTAAAAATGGGGTTCACTCTGGCTCAGACTCACTGTGCAACCCAAACTGGCCTCCAACTTTTACTCCTTCTGCTTCAGCCTCCCGGGTACTAGGCTAAGTAGCACATGGAAACTCATGCCTAACTCTTAAATGCCTTATTTGTCTGTCTCTGTCACTTTTTTTTTTCCTTTTCTCTCTCCTTTTTAAGATAAGATCTTGCTATGTAGCTTGGACAAGCCTCAATTAATCCTCCTGTCTCTCTTGAGTTCTGGGATTATAGGCATGGACAACCTATATGAAATGTGTAGCTGAAATGTATATATTTTTTAAAGTAGCTTATTAAAGTCCATTTCATACATTTTAAGTGTTCAGGTCATTTTTTTTTTTTTTGGAGACAGGGTCTCGTTATGCAGCCCTGGCTGTCCTGGAACTCTCTATGTAGACTAAACTGGCCTTGAACTCACATCTGCCTCTGCCTCCCCAGTGCTGGGATTAAAGGTGTGCACCAGCACACCTGGCCAGATCATTGTCTTTTAATAATTGTTTTCTCTTTGAGCCACCATCCCAATCAATATGAACATTTCCATTTCTCTAGAAAGTTTCCTGTGTCCTTGGCCATCTCTCTCCACCCTTTCAACAGTCAGTAATCTAATTTCTGCTACTGTTCTGCTTCTTCAGGGCATGACTTTAGCATACTCTGGTCTTCCGGTCCCCATAACATGAGAGTCGTACCGAGAGTAGAAGACTGGTTCCTTTTTACACTGAGCTGTATGAACCACAGTTTGCCACTTAGATTGTTTCTCTAACTTGGGGCTGTTGTGTATAAAGCTGTACATACTGTACATTTTTAACATATTTTATAGACTTATTATTGAACTTTATGGCTGGAGATAATGTGCATTCGGAAACAGGGTTGGGGAGAGATGGTCATACCATGAGGGAACTGGTAAGACATGCCAAGGAGGTTAGACTTGATCCTAGAAGTGATGGGAGGCACTAAAGAGGTTGTGGGTGGATGGATCATATCTGGAGAGAACAGGGAGGCAGATCAGAGAGAAGGGAGGGGCCACCAGGGTGAGCTGGGTGAAGGTAATGGCAGACAAGAGAGGTAGCAGTTAGCCAGAGCTGCAGTAGCAAAGTGCCACAGATATGGTGGCCTAAGCAACAGAAATTCCTATTCTCACAATTCTAGTGGTTACAATGTGAGACCAGGGTGGGCGGGCTTCTCCTTGTGATATAGCTGACCATCTCTGTGTCTTCAGTCTTGCTTCTGTGTGTGTTCAAATTTCTACTGGATATAAAGACAGCAGTTACACTGGAACCCACCCAAGGATACAGAACCCACCTGAGGAACCTGATTACCTCTTTCAGAACCCTCTCTCCAAACACGAATATAGTCCAAGATGCTGTAAATTAAAGCATCAACATATGAATTAGGCTGGGGGGGGCAGATTCTGATCATAACAAAGGCGAAGAGTTAATTCAAGCTTATTGGAAGGTAAAATTGACAGGACACTGTAAAACATCCTGGAAAGGAAGGAGAGTGCCTCCTAGGCCTCTGGGGTGGCTAAGTGGTGCTGTTATAATGAAGGTTGGACAGGTTGGCGTGAGGTAGTTTTGGTCTACTGAATGTGAGCTGGTACTTTTAGCTCCGTGTTGTCACTGAAGGGGACTATCTAGGTTTTGCTGGGAGGAAGTAGAACAGTCCTGTTGCATAGTGTTAGAACAGCTGTCTATACAAATTAGATTATCAGGCCTTTCTGGGTCCAGATCCTTACAGGCTGCATAGAGCCAGGCCTGCACTTCCGACCAGGACAGATGGTGCATTGGAGGGAGCCCTTTGGCTGCATATACTTACAGTCTGTGTCCATGTAACCCCCACCTGTTTACTAACAGCATACTAATTTGTAAACCCCACACAAAGATTTCCTAGATGGGGGCTGGAGAGATGGCCCATCAGTTAAAAACCCTGACTGTTCTTGCAGAAGACCTGGGTTTGAATCCTAGCACCCACATGGCAGCTAACAACTGTCCGTAACTCTAGTTCCAGGGGATCTGATGGTCTCTTCTGTCCTCCTCGGGTACTACATGATATGAGTGCACTTACCTACATGCAGGCAATACATGCAAACACATTAGAAAAAAAATAATAGATAAAATATTTTTTTTAATTAAAAAAAAATTCCTAGATGATATGTGGCACCATGAGTTCAACAGACTCCTTCAGACCTGACTCAAGAGCACTGAGCTAATGGGTTTGGGTCAATGACTCATGCACTGTGATGACCACAGTCTTAGAACAGGTCTGCCTTGAGCACAGTGCTGGCTGCCTCTCTAGCTGACCAAAGGTCGGAAGTGGTGTCCAATAAGGACTGGAACTTTATACTGCCTTAGAGTGATCCTAGAAATTTCTATTTTGATGCAGAAAGATAAATCTCAAATTTGAGTAATCCCCTCTCTTTAGATTCTGATACTAGCAGTTTGTTTTTCTCTGGCTTGACTTCTTTTTTTTAATATTTTATTTATTATTTTTATCTTATGTGTATGAGTGTTATGCCTGCATGTAGGTAAGTGTACCTGTGTCGTGCAATGCCCACGGAGGACAGAAGAGGCTGTCGGAGCCCCTGGAACTGGAGTTATGGACAGTTGTTAGCTGCCATGTGGGTGCTGAGATTCGAACCTGGGTCTTCTGCAAGAACAGTCAGTGTTCTTAACTACTGAGCCATCTCTCCAGCCCCCATGGCTTAACTTCTTATAGCTTGATTTATCTGTCCAGTAGGTTGAAGTCCATGCCAGGCGACCTTAATTTCAAGATCTTCAAAGGCTACAACTGCTTATAAGACACTTCAGAACTTGGATGTGGGCCCATGTGGTCAGAGGGGCTGCAATGAGGAAATGGCAGGGCCACCTTAGGTGCAGCTGCCTTATCTGTGGTTCCCAGCTGAACACTCCTCAGATATTTTTTTTCTAAGCTGGTTTTAGTTGTATATGTATGGCAGTTTTGGAAAAAATATATAGTTATTCACAAGAAAAGTTATCAAAATGCTTTGCTTTTATTTACAATGTATTTTTTCCTTTTTTTCTTTACAATTTATTTCTCTTATTGAGTGCTTGCTATATGCTAGTTGCTGTTCATATAGACATAAGACATGGTTACTACTTAAGGAGTTCATAGCCAATTGTGATGCCCAAACTGTCAAAATGAGTGATCCTTCATAAGCATTGTTTCAATTAAGCATGTCTATTAATAGTGAACATATGTGATTATATTGTGTCTTTGTGTGTGTGTGTGTTGTCCCTTGCCACAGGACAACTTCATGGAGTTGGTGCTCTCCTTCCACCTTTCTGTGGCTCCTAGGGGTTGAATTTAGGTCATCAGGCTTGTATGGTATGCACTTTTACTTGCTGAGCCACCACTCAGGCCTTATGCCTTCTTTTTAAGAAAAATATTTTAATTTTTTGTGTATGTGTTATGCATGCACAAGCCATGGGTGCAAGTGAGGGTCAGAGGACAACCCATGAGAGTTCTCTCCACTGAGTGGGTCCTGGGGATCAGATTCAGGTAGTCAGGCTTGGCAGCAAGCACCTTAACCTACTGGATCATCTCACTGGCCCAGCGTGTCTTTTTAAAAAGGCCCTGTGAAGCCAGGCATGGTGCTCCATGTCTTTAATTTCAGCATTCAGATGAACTAAAGGCCAGCCTGGTTTACACAGAGTTCCAGGCCAGCTGGGGCTACATAGTGAGACCCTCTCGAAAAAAACAAAAAGCCTTGTGAGGTTGTTAATAATTTTTTAAAGTGTGTGTATGTGTGTGCATGAGTGTGAGTGCACACATGCCAAGACACACATGAGACCAGCGGACAACTCGGTTCAGTCTTCAGCTTCCACCATACTTGAAACAAGGAAGCTTCCAGAGATCGTCCTGTTTCCCCTTCCCATGTCCCTGTAGGAATACTGGGATTACAGATGCGTACAACCGGATCTTGCTTTCCTTGGGTTCTAGGGATCTGAGCCCAAGTCCTCATGCTTGTATGGCAAGCGCTTCACCCACTGAACCATCTCCCCAACCTGGTTGTTAGCAGCTTTTAATGGCTTCCTTTTTGCCAGAGCCAGGACTTGTGACGTAGGCTGTGCTTGGCCACCTTCTCTATGTGGCTGCTCTCTCTTACGGTCTCCACTTCTCTGATAGATATGGCAAAGGGAAGCTCCTCTTCTTCCACATCCATCTCAAGCCTTGCTTTCCGTTATTGCATCACAACAGCTAAGAATTCTTCTTTTTTATTGTTTCCCTTGATAGGATCTAAGCTGCTGTAAGTGAGGCCCAAGTCTGCCCTTTCTGTCACTGTACTTCTATCTTCACACACACGGACTGCTGCTAAAGTGGAACAACCTGTGTCCCTGCCTCATCTGCTGCCCTCTCCTGCTGTCTGCCATTCCTCACCCTTGCCTGTGTTTGCTCTTGTCAAATGTGATTCCTGTTTTCTTATCACCCCTCCAACCAGACAGACTGCTCTTCACACAGACTTTCTTGATCGTATCCAATTCTGTGTGTGAGACTTCCAGTTCCCAGGCTGCAGCTCACAGACCTGTTCTCAGACCTTGATCTTAATCTCCAGTAGATTATCATTCATGTCTGGGCATTGCTGCTGGGATCATCTCAAGGCTTATTTGTTTATATCTTTCCTCACTTTTAAATGGAAACAATAAGAGTATTTATGGGGCTATTGTGAGAGGAAATGTATAGCTTAAGGATAGTATTTCTAAGATTCTTAGAATGATAGACTTCGGTAGCTAATTGCTACTCCCACACCTTGCCCTCCAGTCTCACCCCCTTACCTTTCACCTACGGACCCCATCTACGACACCCAGGGTACAATAGTGTCAGTTTTTTCCTAACAGGTTCTGTCTGTGCTGTTTAACACAGTGGTATGTGGGGCGTGTTGCTGATAGTGCATAATGTGTCAGAGTTTGCAAACAACTTACTTTTTAAATAACTGACACACCAGCTTTAAGGGTCTCTCTCTCAACGTGTCACTCTTGCTCCAGTGTGTTGCTGAGGGAAGAGAAAGAAAGGATGTGGCATTACAGCTCGACTCTTGGGAATGTCACATAACCACTAGTTCAGGTATCTGTGGTTCAGCCTCTGGTACATGTTATCATGAAGTGCCTTGAAGAGGTGGTGAATCTGCCTCCTTACAACTGGTCTTAATCAAATATAGATCTAATATGTAGTTCTAGAACAGTTCTGTCACAGCAGGTTTTGTGGTATCTTGTCTCTGCTACTGGAGTCCCTCCTCTAGCTCTGTGACGCATTGTCTGGCCCTAAGGTGAGATTAAAAGTTGATGCCTATTTTGAACAGTAAACAACTTTAAAGGCTATACCAAGGAATAAATGAATGAATTGCTTAAACCCATAAAGGGCCCCTTGGTATAGCCTTGTGAAAGCTAGTTTTTACTATGAAGTTCATCTTGCTTTGTTACCCAGGTTAGTTTTGAACTTCTGAGTTCAAGCAATCCCCCTGCCTCAGCCTCCCAAGTAGTTGGGACTATAGGTGTGCAACTTAGAATCCTTTCACTAATAGAGACTGTGATGGTTGATCTTGATCAGTTTGGTTAGATTTAGAATCACCATGGAAGCACATCTCTGGGCATGTTTGGAGGGACTGTCTAGATTAGGCTGAGGTGGGAAGACCCACCCTAAATTTGGGTGGTGACATTCCATGGGCTGTGGTTCTGGACTGAAAAAGGAGAAACCTGAGCACAGGCATTCATTGCTCCACTTCCTGAGTGTGGATGCAGTGAGACCCAGGTGCCTCCTGTCCCAGCTGGCATTCCTTCCTTGCCATGATGAACACTACCCTCCAACTGTGAGCCAAAATAACCATTCCTTTTTGAAAATTAGTTTTATTTTATGTGTATGAGTGTTTTGCCTGCGTCTAAATGGGCCATGTGGAGTGCCTGTGGAGGTCAGAAGAGGGCATTGAATACTCTGGAACTGGAGTTATGGATGGTTGTCAGCTGCCATGTGGGTGCTGGGAACCAAACCCAGGTCCTCTGCAAGAGCAGCCAGTGCTCTTAACCACTGAGCCATCTCTCCTGCCCTAACCCTTCCTTTCTTAAGTTGTTTTTGTCAGGAATTTTGTCCCAGCAACAGGAAAAGTAACGAATCCAGGAACTCCTCTGAGTTCCTTGTTTCCATCTGTCATTCAGCAGATGAGTGCCTAGTGTGCTAACAGAGAAGATTGCTAGTACAGGCGGAACCTGCTTTACCAACTCCAGATTCTCTGCCTTTTTCCCAGCAGTACAGGTTCCCTGTGTTGCGGCACATTCTGTTTTACTACATGCACTCACGCCCATGCCCACTATGTGAATGGCACTAAGGGAAACCTCCTGCACCACTCGCTGTCACCCAGGCTAAGACTTCTTTTATTTATGAAAATCATGTTCTGTCTTTACACTTCAGAATTACCAGGAATGCGTAACTGATCTCAATAAAGTCCTCCTTCTAAACCCAGATATTGCCGAGGCAAAGATGGAACTGGAAGAGGTCACTGGGTTCCTTAATAGTAAGGATAATACAGCATCACTCAACAAAGGAAGAGAGAGGAAGAAAATTGAAATCCAAGAGGTACTTGTATTTCATAATTTTTGAAAGTACTCTTCTGAGATTTTTATACAGGACCCTAAGGGTATAGTCCTGTGAGTTCTATAGGATTTTTTTTCTTCTTCTTATTGTCAGTGAGATTTTTGTTGCTTTGTTTTTGAAAAAGGGACTCCCTGTTATCCCAGCTGGGGTTATGTAAACCAGCCTGGCCTCAGTTGCACAGAGATCCACCTGGCTTTGCCTCCAAGTGGGATTAATGGCATGCACCACCACCACGCCTGCCTGTCAGTGAAGATTTTGAAGCAGCTGTAAAGGCAGGACTTGCCCTGTGCTACATAATTAGCCATTGTGCCTCTCAGCACATCCCATGGAAGACGATGGGCATGTCTAGCTGAAGGTCTTTTCTTTTCCACCTCTGCCTGGCCTGTGATTTATGCTTCTGCTCCCTCACTGGTGCCCTGGAAGCCCTAGGCCATTAGGGTAAACCCAGAGAACCCAGACAGGCCTCGTATTCAGGAGCGCGGCAAGCCACACCCTGTGGAGGTTTCTTCAGGCTGATTCATCTTTTTTGTTTTTTTAATTTCAGACAAGGTCTTGCTATATAACTCTGACTGGCCTTGAACTAAGATTCACATGCTTCTGCCTCCCAGTGCTGGAATTAAAGGTGTGCACCACCACACACGGTGCTGTATCTCTTTTTTAATACTCTGAAACAACCTGGGTTCCTCAAAGAGAGCCTGGACAGCTCTGCCAACCTTTTTGATTCTTGGAAACCCACATGCTTTACTTTGCCACTAATAAAGAATGCCAGGACACAAATCCCTCTAAATTCATGAATGCCGATATCCTGTTTAATGGTCTCAGATAATAGGCTAGTAGGTGAGAAACTATCATTTTTTCCCCATTTTCAGCAAGAAAAATTTGTTTTAAGAGAAATGAAAAAGTAGTTCACTTCTCTGTTCAATATAAGGAAATAAAAATAAAATTTGTCATAGAAAAAAGAAAATTGGTATAGGTCTTCAGTAGGTATAGTATTTTTTTAATGGAAAATTCTAAAAACTTGGGGGGGTAACTTTATTGAGACAGGGTCTCCTTGTAGTCCCAGCTAGCCAGGAACTCACTATGTAGACCAAGCTGGCCTTGAACTCACAGAGATCCGCCTGCCTGTGCCTCCCACTATAGTGTCCCACTATGCTGGCTAGGGAAATCCTAAAAACTTGTAATTTTAGTGTAAAATAATTTTTAAAAACTTCTAAGAATATTTTTATTTTATACCCTAATAGTTCTTTTACTAAAGAAATTATGGATTTTATAAATTCTTAAAAATTAGATTTCTCACTCAGACCTTGACTACTGAAATATCATGTCATATGGGATGTGTGTGGTTACTGGTATTCAGTGTCATGCCATGGTATAATTTTCCCTTGTGAAGGTGAATGAAGGTGATGAGGATGAGTCAGATGGAACTTCAGAGGTGTCTGCTGCCTGCCTGATGTCCCAGGAGGGGGATGAAAACAGCAGGTCTACAGAACACTCTGAAAAACTTCAGTTCTCCAACCCTAGTAATGCCTACGAGTTCGGTCAGATCATAAACACTATCAGTGCTAGGAAAGATGAAGAGGCCTGCGCACATCTCTTAACCATCACTGCACCCAAAGACCTGCCGGTGCTGTTAAGTAACAAACTTGAAGGGGATACATTCCTACTCCTCATTTGGTCTCTGAAAAATCACCTTATGGATAAGGACCCCTCCTTGGTGTATGAGCATCTGTTGTATCTGAGTAAAACAGAGAGATTTAAGGTAAGCAGCAAAGTTTTTTTAAAGAGACTTATTTTTTTGGTCTTCTTGAGATAGGGTCTCCCTGTAGTCCTACCTAGCCTATGTAGACCAGGCTGGCCTCAAACTCACAGAGATCTGCCTGCCTCTGCCTCCCGAGTGCTAGGACTAAAGGCGTGCGCCACCATGCCCAGCTAAGAGACTTATTTTTTTAGGGTTTCTATAACTTTAAAAATGTTACTTCACTCATAGGTTTTCCCTTTTTTCAGATGATGCTGACACTAATTAGCAAAGGCCAGAAGGAGCAAATTGAACAGCTGTTTGATGACCTTTCAGACACACAGGCCAATCATTTTACTTTAGAGGATGTACAGGCCCTAAAGAGGTGGTATGAGCTTTAACAAGGATGGCTGAGAGTCTTCCGTGCATGCATCAGTTCTGTCACACTAATGAGAAGGCACTGTACAGAGTTACATGGAAAAAAACAGGCCTGGAAGAGACCTTCGGTCTGCAAAACATTTACTTATTTTTATATACAGAATGTGTATATTCTACAATCTGCTTTTTATTAGTTGTAAATATTTTCTTATGTACCAGAGCCAGCATCTTTATATTTAATAAGTATACTTTGAGTTTGTTAAATTACATTTTAATTTATAGTGCACATTTTCTTTTAATAATCTACTTGTTTAAAATTTGAATTACAATGCATTTCTTTGAGCTGTTCAGTTCTCCTAAGTTTGAGCAATGAATTTCTTTAGTTTGTTTTTAAAAATGACCATCATTAACATGATTATATCACTTTATATCCTATTAAGGTATGCATAAAATCCATTTTATAGTAGTGGCTTATGGCCAGTTAAAATGAAATACAACACTGAAGTCTATGACACCATTAGTTTATATATTTTCTAATATGAAAACATTTGCCTAATAAGAAAATTGCCAAAATTTTCTATCATTTTTTTTACCAGTTTTAAAATGTGGCTTTCCCTTACATATTGTCTGTAAGCAATAAAACTATATGAAGCACTCAATCTGCATTTGTATTTAGGTTGTGACCCCATCCCATGTTTTCCCAGACATTTAAATGTCTCTGCCCCTTTTGTTTTCTGCTTTAATGGGGATATATTTATTTTTTTCCTTTACTGCAAAAAGGAAAGTGAAGACACTGAATGTGCCTTTGTTATCTGGGTCAAAGTAGAGATATTCAGGGCTTCAAAACTAGGTGTATTTATTTTAGGTGTATGTCTATGTGTGTGTGTGTGTGTGTGTGTGTGTGTGTGTGTGTGTGCCCACCCCTCAGCAGTGTATGTGTGTGTGTGTGCCTGAGTGTATGTATATGTACCATATGTGTGCAGGTGCCCATAGAGACCAGAAGAGGATGTTGGATCCACTGGAACTGGAGTTATAGACGGTCGTGAGCCACCTGATGTGGGTGCTGGGAACTGAACCAGGTCCTCTGGAAGAGCAACAAGTGCTCTTAACCACTGAGCCATCTCCAGGCCCTACATTCAGGTCTTAATCAAGTATATTGTCATTTCTTTCTGTACTCCAGTCAGTTCTTTTTTAGGGATATTTTCTTGTTCATTTAAAAGGTGAAAGATGAATGCCCTTTCCATTATTTTCATATTAATCATCTTTTATAATTACAGAATATTTTAAGACTCCTTGGTGAATGCTAGCTTTCAAATTGCCACTTTTTCTCTTCAACTGTTCTCTCCTTTGTTCATACATGAAAATCTACTATAAGACAAAAATATGTTTCTCCTTCTAATGTTTTTATGCAAGTAAATGATGGTCTGTGATACATAGATGCATGATGGTGTTTCAGACTGCATCATCACCTGGTGCCATATGTCATAGGTGTCTTCGTTTGTTCAAGTACATTCTGATGTTCACACAACAGTCACCTAGTGACACGTTTCTCAGAATATATCCTCATCAGGTGATAGATGACAAAGTGTTTTTTCCTGTATCATGATTGCAGCTATGTTGTTGGAAAAGGGTAAGAAAGTGATTTTGAGATACTGTGCACACTTTCATTCTTTTACTTATTACACACACTAGTTCATCTGCAGGAGAAATACTATAGCTGGAGAAGTGGCTGGCCCTGGAGCTCTGGTGCTATCTCCTGGGAATCTGTCCTGTTACAGCAGCCAACCGAACACCTCAGGTGACAGAGCGGCAGGAAGCACCTTTCATTCCTAACTCCCACACACAGCATTGTGCATATAGCACCTGGCACAGGCTACTGAGTGCTAATGGTTGAGTGAATGGATCTAAAGGGCATCGCCTTAAAAAGGGCTCTTGTTTTAGAGTCACAGAAATTCCTATTATTGAGAAGTTGGTGAAGGCATGAAATTCTCTAACAGTCATTCTTGGAGTGTTTGCATAGTCACATGGGAATCTTAAAGAGTTCAGAGGGTTGGCAAACTGCTAAAATTAGCTCTTGTCATTCCTTAGAAAGCTGGAATTTACAGCCCACTGGCTGAAGAGCTGTATGTGCAGTAACTACTGGCTTGTGTAAGCACTGAAAGGATCTAAACTATTTATAGCCTTTTGAATAAAGCAATGGGACTGATAATCTTAATGAGGTTATGCTTAAGAAGAAAAAAGCAGTAACAGCAAATATGATCTCTAGTAGAAAAATAAGTGTCAAATGACTGTTCAAGGGCCTCAGGGATAAAGGGACCATCTAATCCCAGTTTTTAAACAGATTCAAGTTGATGAGAAGGAAGAGCTAAGGATTAAATTGCTTTGTTGAGAGATGGCTCAGCGGTTAAGAACACTGGTTGTTCTTGGAGAAGACCCAGGTTCGAATCCCAGCACCCACATGGCAGCCAACAACTGTCTGTAACTCCAATTCCAGGGGATCCAACAGCCTCTTCTGACCTCCGCAGGCATTGCATGACATGGGTGCACTTACCTACATGCAGGCAATACACGCATCCACATAAAAAAATAATAAAATTTTTTTTAAAATTGCTTTGTTGCACTGTTCAGTATCATGCACTAGAAACAGCCCAGCACCAACCACCTCTGCATGCATGCATCACTGCAGCAGACAGAAGCCATTCAGGACATATAGGCAAAGTTACTTGAATTATCTGTTTTTCCTTAAGGTTTTAACAGTATCTGAAGTCACCTCTAAAAACAGTTGAAAACTGAGTCTTGCTGCCTGTCATTTTATTTTATTTTATTTTATTATTTTTGGTCTTTTTGAGACAGGGTTCTTCCTGTAGCCCCAGCTGGCCCAGAACTATGTAGACCAGGCTGGTCACAAACTCACAGAGACCTGCCTGCCTCTGCCTCTCAAGTGCTGGAATTAAAGGCATGTGCCACTATACCTAGCTGCCATTTGATCTCTTTTTTGTTGTTTTGTTCTTTGTTCTTTTAGAGACTCCTTGTAGCTCCAGCTAGCCTGGAACTTGCTCTGTAGACCAGGCTGGCCTCGAACTCACAGAGATTCACCTGCTCTGTCTTCCAAGTGTTGGGATTAAAAATGTGCACCACCATGCCAGGCCATTTGATCTCTTTTTAAAAACATACTTCCTTTTTATTTTATGTGTATGAATGTATTGCCTGTTAAGTGCACCTATGTTGTACAATGCCCAAGGAGGTCAGAGTGTGGTCGCTGGCTGTGGCTGCTCTCCTCCAGCTATGGCCGCTCTCCTGCTCTCTTAGTTCTCTGATCAGTCGTCCAGTCTGGACCCCAGGGCTGGTGAGGAGTCTGTGCCAGCGTCGCCGCATTCAGGCGCAGGAGACCAGGTTCAGTGACACAGATTTGCTTTATTGCAAGAAAGTATGGGCTTATATAAGGGTAATAGTCCAATTATAACACAGTATATGGGATCCCTTATTAGCATGGCAGACTAGTATCCTATTACAATCTAGCGGGCCAGATGCCCTATTAGCATGATAAGTTTCAGTTTCTAAACAGGAAGCAATGCATTCCAGCATGATAGGTATGTAAGGCAAAAGGGAAAATCAGTCACAAGATTTTCCACAAGAAGAAAGTGTCAGATCCCCTGGAACTGGAATTATGGATGGTTTTTAGCTGCCATGTGGGTGCTGGGAAATGAACCTGGGTCCTCTGTAAGAGCACTCAGTGCTCTTAACCTCTGAGCCAACTCTCAGACTCCCATTTGATCTCTTTTATGTCAGTTTTTTGTTTATGCAATAAGACCAGTTATTTCTAGCAGTAAGATCAGTGCTTTGGGGAGCCTATTCAGTAAGCAAAGTTTTAGTCCTAATTCACACTTGTGCTAGGGACAATGATTTTACTGGGATGGCTACAATAATTTTGAAAAAAAAAAAAGATTGGCAAGAATGTGGAGGAAATGGAAATCACACAGTGTTGCTGAGAATATAAAGTGGGGTGGCTGCTTTGGACTGTGACCTCAAAAACTTCCAACAGTTGCCATCAACCCAACAATTCACAAACCCAAGGAAACAAAATATATGTTCACACACTTAGAAAATTTAATAGGATGGTATGCGTCAAAAGTAGAAATAACCCACATGTCCAACAACCACTGGTGAACGCATTGACAAATGTTACAGCCACACACAATGATCATGAAAAAGGTGTTCATAGAGCTGCTTAACGGATGGACCTTGGAAGCATTAAGCACCTTAATTAGCTGTACAAGGCCAATTCAATGATTCTGTGTGTCTGAAATGCCCAGAATGGGCAAATCCACGGACTAAGGGCGAGGGGAACAGACTGATAAGTAGCCGGTTTCTTTGGGGTGATGAAAATGTTCTGGAGTTAGTGATGATGGCTATTCAGAGGTTTATAAACCTCTGAATAGACAAAAACTACTGAATTGAACACTTAACCAGGCAAGTTTCATGGTATGTGAACTGTAGTTTCAATTTTAAAAAAAGGAATTTGAGAAAACCAAAAACCAAACAAAAAGAAAACACAAAAGTAAAAAACACACACAAAAAAGAAAGCTGCACCTGTAGTAAACAATACAGAGGTAAACTCTGGGGTCCTTCAGTCAATCCTGAAAGGCCAGCCATTTGAGCTTATTGGGAATTTACCAGGACGAATAAAAGCTAAGAAGAGTGGAATGCTGGTTATCTCTACCCTATGACTAGAAGTAGGTAAGGATGTCCACTCTTACATTCCTGCTCACACTGAACAGAGGGGCCAATAACATTTATAACATTTATTGACAACAGGTCAATAACATTTTACAAAGGCATCTAGATTGTAAAGCTGTATTTTCAGACATAATTACACAGAAAACCATATAGAATCCATAAAAAGTTACTAGAATGTGACCAAGTTGTATGAGTGAAAAATCAAAATATGAAAATCAACTGTATTTCTGTATGAGTAACAAAAAGCTGAGGTGTTTTATAATCTGTGCAACAAAACTATGAGACATTGCTGAGGCAACTAAATAAGAGAACAAATATATTCACTGATTGGAAGACTCAACATCATTAACTATCCCCAAACTGCTACAGATTGATTCAATGGAATCTTCAATCAAAATCCCAGCCAGCTGTTTAGTATAAAAATCTAGAAATAGATTCCAGTATAAAGTATGTACTTGAGGCTGGAAAGATGGCTCATTGGTTAAGAGTGCTGGTTGCTCTTGCAGAGGACCCAAGTTTAGTACCCAGCATCTATGTCGGGTGACTCACAACTGTCTGTAACTCCAGCTCCATAGGATCTGATGCCCTCTTCTGACCATTTCAGACACCTGCACACAACTCCACATACACACATAATTAAAAATAAGATCTTTAAAGTGGGTACTTGAATCAGTGGAAAAGACTGACAGACAGCCTGTGAAGCTGAGGCAGGCGAGTCGTTTTAGAACAGCCTGAGACTCTTGCTTTAAAAACAAAAACAAAAACAACCAGAAAGTAAAATATAGGCCGGCAAGATGGGCTCAGTGGGTAAAGGAGCTTGTGGTACAGGGATAGGCACCAGAGTTTTACTCCCAGAACCTCCATAAATATGTAGAAAAGGAGAACCGACTCCACAAAGTTGCTTTCTGACCTATCCAAGCAT